GCCAGTTCTCGGCCCCCCTGCTGCTGCTGCTGCTGCTGCTGCTGCTGCTGCTGCTGCTGGTGCTGCTGCTGCTCGCAGAGGGGGGCACGCGTCTGGGAGGTCCCTCGTCGCCACGGTTGGAGAGCCTCCTCGAAGTGCTGGCCAGAACGCGTTCTGAGAGATGTTTTTTGTTGTGCCCCTTTCCCCCTCCTTGGTAGACACGTGCCCTTCCCCCAGATTTCCGACGATGCAGTCAGCCCGCATAAGTAAGGATGGGCAACCTTCCCAAGGGTAGTACCCTTGCATCCTTGCCTCCTCGGTCTATCCCTGGCCAGTCCTTTCGCCGCGCCCCGCTCGAACAGCTTCGAAATGGGCGTCCAAGGCCCTTGCGTCCTCATCGCGCATCCTTATGATGCGGGCCGACTGTAGGCACGTGCCTTTCTTTCAGATTTCCGACGATACGATGTTTTCAGCCAGAGGGCTTTCCTCCCATTCGGCCCTCGGGAACCGTTTTTGCGGGCCCAGGGGCATTACCAATATTTCGGGGGCGAAGAACTGGCCCCGGAGAAGGGGGTCGGGACCTTTGGTGCCGCGGATGGATTGTGCATCCACCTTCGTTCTGGCTACCGGTTTCGAGTTATGCGAGAGAGATGGAGAGAGGGAGCAGGAGAGAAAGAGAGAGAGGCAGAGAGAGAGAGAGGGAGAGAGGTGCACAGAGTAGCGGTCGGTATTGCTGCCAGTGACGTTGGTTCCCTGGGAGGGGGAGGGGGGCAAATAGCCGATCGTCTCCCTGCTGGCGGGCAGGGGCGGGCCAGCTCAGACTGGCGCTCCAATCTTTTCGATGCGTGGGCCCCCGGAGGTCTGGACCGCCTCCCCAGGGCAGGTTTTCCGCCCAGGGCCCCGGGGCCGGTCGATGGCCCCTGGAAGCCGAAAGTGGCACAAAGACGGTCGGCCCGTTTTTGTTCGAAGCCTCGGATCTTTGGCAGGAGGGACACATGTATTCAAGCACAATTAGACTTTGATTTGTAGGAGAATACAAGAGCATCTTGGAAATGGAGGGGGTAAGGGACATCCAGGACAGATTGCACAGTATTGCGAATCATGGAATTTGTGTAGATTTGTTTGTGTCCCCCCCGGGCCCCTTAATCCATGGACGGCCTTGTCGAGGTTCACATGACGACGACTGGGCCGTTGGCTGCACCGCGCATGCCCGAGCAAGTGCCCCAGACCCGCCGCCCATGGCTCCTCAGCTGTGGTGGACCCACCTCTGTCGCCCCTGGCCTGGTTGCAGGCTGGCAAGTGCCTGCCAGGGCAGGACTTGTCAGGAGCGGGGGATCGGCACCACCCAAACATACTTTCAGGTGATCGCGAACATGGATTAAGGGGGCTCGGATTGGCGACGGGTCCCGCTTCCAGGGGAAATCGCTGATTGCCGCCGCCGAACGAGGCGCCAACGGCCGCATTTTGGGGAGGGCACCTCCCCCGATCCATGGATTTGGCGACCGCGCGCCAAGTCCATGGATCGCTAATCCACGTTTGCGCGCCCCCGATGCTTGTGCCATGGGCGCGTCGGCCTCGCGATGGGCGACGCGCGCGCTCAAACAAAAATCTTTTGGCACAAGCTCCGCGGTTTGGGCGCTGTCCCACCACACCGCTCGAGCACCGAGACACTTCAGGATTTGTGCGCTGCATGTTCGTGTCGGAGGTGCGCCTCCAGCATCATCAGCACGCAGTACTGATGATGTCCTTCTGCGTCCCCGAGGAGGTCCTCGAAGAGCTCGTGCCCCCCTGGGCCCCTCCGGCGCTCACGAGGCGGGCCGGGCGCTCCTCTTGGGGGCCCCCCGCGTGCAGGCGCGGGGCAGCAGCGCTGCTGGCGCGCCGCGGGCGTCTGCCTCGGAGGCGCACGACGACGCCACTGCCGCTGCGCTGCAGGAGCTGCTGGAGGAGATCAGGCGCCCTGGGGCGGGGGAAGCGATTACCCCCAGAGATCCGCGGCTCCGCAAAGATCGCAGCGGCCTTGGGCAATTTTCGGCCTCCGGGGGCCCTCGACAGCCCTGGGACCGTCAACAAAAACGAGTCCGGGCGAAAAGCCTGCCCTAGGGAGGTGGTCCAGACCTCGGGGGCCCACGCAGAAGCAGAAGAAATGGAGCGCGGGATCTCTGGGAAGCGATTCTCTGGCTCTCAGTTGCCGGTCATTGTTCCAATCCTGGAGCAGTTTTGTTCAGTTACCTGAAGTCGTTTTTACTTTGGTACAACAGAACTCGGTGTTTTTGAACACAGCCATTACGGCGCCAACTAAGCTCTGGCCATGGAAGGAGGTCCATCTGGTTTCAGACGCTCCTTGCATCTCAACACCGTCGGAAGGAGCAACAGAGTAATGCCAGTGCCAACACGTTGACCCTTCTTGCTAGACCAAGCGAGCCAGTCTACTGGATAGATGGGCGGGCCATGACGCTTGACGTACTTCGCACCATCAAGTGGAACGGTTCGCAGCGCCCCTCTCACGAGTTTTGGACGAGGCGCAGCTGATGGAGCAGGTGTTAGGGCCAAGGCCCCAGAGACTGCGAATAGGGTCTTCGTCTGCTGTGGGCTCTTCGCCTGCTCTCGCAGAGACCACTCCCGCAAACATGCGACCTGCTGGGCCTGGAGCTGGACGCGCGACCGGTCACGGTGAAGCCTCGATGCACCGCGGCGCTCGCGCACCGACGGTGCCCTGCTCGTGCGCCGTCACGCCCGTCGTGTCCAGTTTTCGGCTCACGGGTTCGGTTCTGTTCCGGAAGCCGCTGCCGGCGGGTGCCAAGGCGGTCAGTTGCCTCCTTGGCCTATTTGGGGAGCCATCTTGGGTCTGGTGACCACCCGGTTCGTTTCGGCTGGTTCGGTTCGCGTGGCGGGCCGGTTCGGCTCGGCTGGTTCGGTTCCATACGTGGTTCTCGATTCTCGGTTCGGTTCGCGGCCATCATGTGGAGGGAGTGCGCGCTTCTTGGGTGTGGGGGTCAGGGGTCAGGTTGGGCAACGTTGGGTAGGATAGGCTCTCAGGGAGGAATGCACCGACCCTCAATCCTCCATTGATCACCCCGCCCAGGACCGTGCGGATTCGCTACCGGGGTCTCATCGCCGATCTATCGGCGATACACCGTCGATTTCAGATCGATGCTCCCCTCGCCTGAGCTCGTCAGCTCGTCCCGCCTATTGTTAGGTCGGGCATGTCCTCCTACAGGTGGACTTTGGACGAAACTGAAACTGGGCAGAACAATCTCAAACACAGCCAAACGTAGTCGAAAAACTGCTCCCAAACTACCTTCTTCGTAGTTTTGAACATCCCTCCTGTAGAGGGACATGCCCGACTTGACCCCATCGCTGCCCCTCGGGGAGGGCCGCTGCGCTCGCGAGGCGCTCGCTGCACCAGCGGCTCGATCGCCTCGAGCGGCGGCTGGAGGAGCACATCGAGGCGGCGGAGGCCGCCCCGCCCCGCCCCCCTCCCCTGGCGCCGTGCGCCGCGGCCGCCGCGCCCTCCGCGCCCCCTAGGGGCTTCGGGCGAACCCAGGCGTGCTCGCGTCCTGCACGGGCATCGCGACGGGAGGCTTCGTCTGTTTGGTTGTATGCTGGTGTGCTTGTTCGCTGTGCTGGGTCTTGATGCCGCTTTCGGACACCGGGGGGCCCTCACCCCAGGGGGAGCAGGAGGAGGAGGAGGAGGAGGAGGAGGAGGAGGAGGAGAAGCTCACCGATGCATAAGTGGTGATCTCTCGTGTCGAAGCATTTTTCCTGCCGTCGCCTGTGCAGCATTTCGCTCTTGAAAGGCTCTACTTCCGCGGACACGTGGCCTGTGCAGTCCATGCCCGTCTGGGTCTCTTCCTCCCTCCCCCTCTCCAGCGCTTTCCCGCTCGTTGGTCAAATCCTCCTTCTTCCTCTTCATTCTTTTTGGTTCCTCCGCCTTGTATCATGCCGCGCAGGTTTGGCTGGCCACTTGGGCTTCGGGGCGCGCTGCAGTTAACGGCGTTTCGTCTGCCCGGCCTCGTTTGCGGCGTTTGCGGCGGGTTGGTTTGTGCTGCGTTCCAGGCGCATCTGTCGTTGCCCCAGCTCGCACTGAGAGCTGCAGCCGCGCGGTGGTGCGTCGCAGCGCCTTCCTCCCCCCCCCTCCTCGCGCCCTTCCTTTCGGCTCGTCCCCCCCGCTCTTTGTCGGCGGATGCGCGTGGGATGGTGTTCCTTCTTTTCCATGTTCCCCGCCTCCCCCGCGGCGGCGCCGACGGCGCTCCGAGCCCAGTTTGGAGGTGTCTCTGGGCCGGGCTTCGGCGGCCGACTGGGGCGGGAGGCTTGACGCTGGGCCCCTGCCCTGCGGGGTGGGTCGTTTTGCTGCTCCTCTCTCTGGCTCGCCCGTTCCCTCCCCGCCGTTTTCGCCAGCCCTGCCTTGCCAGTCAACGTCGCTGGAAGCACGCGCTGCCCCCTGCTGTGGCGCTAGGGTTGTGAGGAAGTCGCAAGCGGCGGCGCCGAGGCTCGTGGCTGCGCGCGCTTGGGCCGATCGGTCGCATCTGTTTTTGCCCCCGTCGCTGTCGAGAAACATAATACAATTGCAATGTGCACTCCGTCTCTTTCAAAGCTCGCGACCGCATTGTGATGACATCTCAAATGATGCCGTTGTGTTCGATGGTTGGGTGATTGGTTGGTTTGGTCGGCGCAGCGTTCGCCCGAATGCATGGCAGCTGGGGATGGTTCCCCGAGCGGGCAAACGACGTGACGTTCACTGGGCCTACTAGAGTGTTTTCCAGTTGTGCTGTGTTCGTGCAGGGCCTGCCTGGCGGCGCGCAAAATCAACCACCGCGCGGGTCGCGCGCTTCCTGCGGCCTGGGCAGAACAAGCGGCCATGCGGTGCATGTCTCGCCCACGGCCCGCGCGCATCGCGCTGCCCGTGCGTTTGGTCCAGCGATATGCAGGGGGCGCCCGTGCGTTTCGCGCGGCCCATGCGGCCTCGCTATTCCGACGCGGCCCCCAGCCCCCGCTTTCCACGCGGATCGCATGGCCCATGTGGATTATGCTGCCCTTGCGTTCCGCGCTGCTCTCACGGCCCATGCCGCAGATGCAACTCCCCTTCCGCGCCCCGCGCGCGCCGCAATCCACGCGCAGGCGTCGCCCCCGCCGTCGTGCCCCGAGCTCTTGCGACAAGGGCGCCACCTGCACGCGGGTTAGGAGTTGTGACGACGACGGCGAGGCGACCACGTGCCACCTCCAACGACGACGGCGACAGCGACGGCGATGGTCTCGCCAGGCTTCCTTCCGTCGTCGTCGTCGTCGTCGTTGTCGTCGTCGTCGTCGTCAGCGTCGTCTCTGTTGTTCGAACGTTGAGGTTTGAACATGTTCCCCCGCATTTTTGACCTTTGGTGCGCAAATGATCGGGCATAACATATGCAGGTACGAAGAGCAGCAATTCCAGGATGAAAAAGGAGGAGGAAGATGATGCCTGCGCTTCACTTGCCGAGAGCAGATCATCGATTCTCTTCGTCGCCCCCCACGTCCTCTGCCTCCTCTTCGTGCCCCCCTGGGCACGCACATGTGTGTATATATATATATATATATATATATACACATGCATGTGCATTTGTAGGCAATTTGGGTGATGCGTGATTCAGTTTCGGTTCTCGCATACACTCTGCCGCTTGTCACATGCACTGGTCTGTGCGAGGGCAGCACGGCAATAACAGGAAAATTCAAGGGTTGGTTGCGTCCCAGGGTCAGCAGCCCGGGGAGAGGAGGGGAGAGGGACCTGACGACCGAGCGGCCGACCGAAGGGCCAGGAACACCGAGCGCGCGCCAGGGCCAGGAGGAGGACGAGGAGGAGGAAGAATTCGACCTAGCATCCAGCACGCCACATGCCGTCCTCTTCTCCGCCCGCCCGCAGGCCCGCTCGGCGAGGCTGGAGGGCGAGGTGAGAGTCCTGTGCATGGTGTTTCCGCCCTCACCGCCGCCCGAGGCAGCCACCTGAAGGCGGTGGGGGGGGGGGAGTGTCAGGGGCAACGTTAAGGGGGGAGGAACACATCGTCCCCCGATCGCCCATTCATCGGCGATAGGGGCCCGATGGCCCACCGCGCCCAGAAGCGTGCGGAGTAAGGATGGGGAGGAGGGACGGCGCCTCTGGCCCTGGCCAGAGACGGGTGGTGGTGCATAGATGCCTTCCGCGTACTGGGCGCGTGTTGTCGGATGGGGGTCCCCACTCGAGCAGATGCGCCCCCCCAAAGTGTCCGACAAGACCCGCACCCGTGCCCATGGCCAGTTCCCTCCCAGCGACCCCCCTGTGGGGGTATGGACGCGTGCTGTCCTCTCGTCGTCGCGGGGGAGCGCCACCCGCCACCCGCCGAGAGGCACTCGCTCGGCGGTCCCAGATCTGCTTGGGTTCCCCCTCCTCCAGTCCCCCTCCTCCATGTGCCCCTCCTCCATGCCCCTCCTCCATCCCCCTCCTCCATCTCCCCGCCCCTGCCTCCATCCTGTCTCTTCCTGCGGTTCCAGATCTGCTTAGGTTTCTCCTTCCGCTCCTCCAGGTTGGATGAGAGCAGCGGGAGCAGGACGATCATGAGCAGGAGGACGCCGTGCGGAACAGAAGTAGGAGGAGGAAAGAGAGAGGTGGGGGAGGAGCCGGGGTGGGGGAGGCTGCACAATGATGAGCCTTCGGAAGAGGAGGAGGAGGAGCAGGAGGAGGGGGACCCTCCTGGGATGGGAGGGGGATGATTATGAAGACGACGACAACGAGGCAGGGGAGATCGAGAAAACCCATGAGGAGCAGCAGAAGGGGAGACGCATCAGGATGATGATGCTGATGATGCTGGTGATGAAGATGACGCTGATGCTGATGCTGATGCTGATGATGATGATGATGCTGATGATGATGATGCTGCTGTTGACGCTGATGACGATGTTTCTCATGAGGATACTGATGATACTGATGATGTTGATGAGGAGGAGGAGGAGGAGGAGGAAGGATGGAAGGACGATGAAGAGGAAGAGTAGGCGTACGAGGAATAGAAAGATGCAGATACTGAGGACCCATACGAATACGATGATGATGCTGATGATGACGGTGCTACTGCTGATGATGACGGTGATGTTGCCGATGCTGCTGATGATGATGCTGGTGATGATGATAATGATGATGTTGTTAATGCTGCTTATGATAGTTGTGGTGATGGTGCTGGTGATGGCGATACTGATGATGCTGATGATGACGATACTGGTTGTGATGATGATTCTGAGTAGGATGGTTATACTGGTGATGCTGCTGATTATGATGATAATGATAGCGATGCTGATGATGCTACATATGATGATGATTATGCTGATGCTTATGAAGTTGATGATGCTGATGCTGATGGTGATGACGAAGCGGATGCTGATGATGTGATGCTGCTGATGATAATATTGGCGCGGACGAGGATGATGCTGATGCTGATGATGTTGCTGATGATGATGTTGATACTGATGATGGTGTTGGGTTGGTGATGATGCTGTCACTGATGACGATGTTGAGGCTGTGCTGGTGATGATACTGGTGATGATGACGATGACGATGCTGCTGATAATGATGATGCTGATGAAGGATCTGATAATGATCATGATCATGATGATGATATTTTGACGATCATGGTGATCATCATGATGATGTTGATGATGGCGATTGCGATGATGACGATGATGATGATGATGCTGATGATGACGTTGATGATGATGGTCATGATGATGATGATGATGATGATGATGATGATGATGATGATGATGATGATGACGATGATGATGATGATGATGATGATGATGATGATGATGATGATGATGATGATGATGATGATGATGATGATGATGATGATGATGATGATAATGATGATGCTACTTGATGGTGATGATGCTGATGATGATGATGCTGATGATGATGATGATGCTGATGATGATGATGATGATGATGATCCTGATGATGATACTGATGAGGATCGTGATGCTGATGATGGTAATACTACTAGCGCGGCAGAGAGGCACGCCGTGCCCCTCGTTTCCCTCGAGTCCGTGGCGGAGCAGGCCTGCACTGGCCCTCGACAAAAAAAGAACGCAAGCACACTGTAAGTGCGTGTGCAACGGACCAGCGAAACACTTCGGCGATTACACGCGGCAGCCAGCCGAAGCTGGGTTAAACCAGAGAAAAGCAAGAGGGCCTTGACAGGCCCCAACAGGCGTAAATCAGGCCGTGGGGAACCATCGCACCGACGAGTCGGGGTGCGACGCACTACACGGATGTACCAGCTGACTGTATATACACGTACAAGAAAGCGACACGGCGGCAGCAGCAATTTCAAGCTTGGAAGTGGCCCAGGCACACGACGGCAAACAGCAGGTGGATGGCGGCCAGCATGGTGTCGTACACGAGCAGGGCGCGGACGACGACGCGCAGGGGGCGTGGGGGAGTACATACCATCACAGTCCCAGCAAGACCATCCCACGTCCACCACCACAAGCAGCAAGTAGAGTGTATGTGCGATTACGCTATCGGCCGTCGTGACGAAACAACACTCGTCAGTAGCATAGGTCGACGCGTGCACAACTCATGCCACGGTGCACCCCACTCGGGCAGACTATGCTGAAGCATGTCTTCCATGGCCCCTGGAGCTGCGGCCCCGACCACGCGACGCCCGCCCACCTCGGCCATAGCTCCCATGAACAGCTGGCGCAAGCGCGTGCCCGAAGGCAGCGAGCGCGCGGCGGAGTCGGCTGCCTGGATAGTCACCTGCTCCGTCTGGTCCACGTTCTTGATGCAGAGGTGAACATTCTTCTTTCAGGAGGGGAAAAACACAGACACAATTAATCGTCGACTCCCCGGAAAATATGGGAAAATATGGGAAGTGGGGGGGGAAGACAGACACCCAGACAATATAGGAAACTATGGGGATTTTTTATTTGTATGTATGTATTTGTGTGTCCTGGGGCCCCTTTATTCTTGCCCTGATCGTAACACTTGGTGATGCGGACCAGTCGTACTTGATCCCAGGCCTCCTCCAGAGTCGCCTTGCACAACCATTCCTTGTACCATAGCACCAGTTCTTCGTAGGTCTTGGCCCCCAGACTGTTCGAACACTCTAAGAGCTTGTTCACGAACCCACGAACGATATGAAGGTGAGGCGGACCCAACTGGTGGCCCCGACCCGCTGAGCGTACGTTCTCGGTGTAGTCTGACCCTCGCTGCGGGCGGCTTCGATCTCTGGTAGGCTGGAGTCGAGGAACCACGTATCCATTCCCAGAACCCAGAGATATCGTAGCATCTGAGACGTCATGAGAACTTGTTTGATGAGAACGGCGACCACGTTCTGTTGTTTCTTGTTTAACCCCGTGTCGGCGAGAGCTCCAATTCCTTTGTTCCGATCCTTCCGCGGCTTCTTCTGCTTGTCTCGACCGTGGTCGGGCGGTGGTACGGCAGCTCTTTGGGCGCCGAGGCTCCTGCTGACCCCGAACCTGGTGTTGGCGGAGCGCCTTTTGCCTTCTGAGTCGGAGGGGTGCCAGAGGCGGTATCTCTTTCTTTGCGCTTTTGTGCCCAAGCAGGTTCCATTGTCGCCATCGCCGGACGGGGTCGAGGTGGAGGGGGAAGATGGAGAATCTCGAATATGTAATTGAAGCTGAGCCAAATCATGCTACGAAGCATCACCACATACAGGACATTTCAATGGCACACCCACGATAGGACACACAGCATGAGCAGAACTGACTCCGCGCGTGCCCGTGCGAAACGCGGCTTGCGCGAGCAGTGGTTGGCGATGACGCATTTCAGGATCTTCGAGGTCCTGCCGTGCGTGCCACCTTTCGTGACCGTGTTGTGCATCGTGACGGCCCTGCGGGATCCGAACGCAGCGCCACACAGGGGCCCGTCGTCGTTGAGACAGGTGCACTTTGTATCTGAGCTCAGCCGCGCCCTGGCCCTCCTCCTCCTCGTTGGGGAGCTCACCTGGGTCGACGACGGGCCCCCAGTGCGGCCCGACTGGTACAGCTCTTACGGAACGCGCTAACGTCAGTGTTGAGAAACCTGTGTTCAACATAATCATCCTCAAGCATCTGAGCCAAAGATCGGAGGGCACCAACTATACACCAACACCGATCCTGGCCCAGGATCACCCTGGCCCAGGATCGGTGTATAGTTGTTGCCTTCCTAAAAGACCCACCTCGTATGTCCATCCAGTCCTCCATGTCGGTGAGCGCCGACAGGCATTAGGCGTCACGCACAAACCGTCGAGCAAAAGGGTTCGTTTCGTTTGTAAGTATACCGTCGATCATCGCGTCGTAAGTCTCGAACGCAAATCGACCAAAGAGCATCGCAATAGCTTGAGCGTGGTCTTCGGGGGATCGAAGCATCGCTTGATACCAACGGGGTCGCTGTATGAGAAGTTCGTATCGCGTTGGGATGAGACCAAACCATATCCACAGGTGTCGAGACCTCCAGGCCTTGGAGTGAACGCCCGTCCAATCGCAAGCAGCACCCTGGGCAATCGACCGGATCTTCCGAAGCAGGCATGAGTCAAGTTCGTGTTCCTGGGCAGAATAGAACAAGAACGGGACGAGGCCAGATAATAGGGCTCCCTGCACCGCGCTTACAAATATCAGACGTATGACCTTCCAAGACGCCCCACTACCCGAGAACTCCCTGTAAGCACACCAGCCTCGGGCATCAGCTTTTTTAGCATTCACGATCTGCGGACCAAGCGTGTCAGCAGGCATGAAGTACTGGCCAAGGTAGCGAGCGTATGGCAAGACAAGAGCGCCGCCAACGAGGGGGCGCATAAACACGTCGATTGCCGTGATATCCCTTGAGCCACTTGAGCCAGGGAGCAAGCACCTGCTTCTTCAAATCCTGTTTTCATCCATAGGAAGATAAACTTTCATCCGTAAGCATCTGCTCGGCAGCAACAGCCTCAATCGCCTCTCCGAGGCGTCCCGAAGACAAAGTATGAAATAGTGCAGGTCGTTCACGTGCTTCGATAATGACGCATCCACAGGGTCAGTGACCAAAGAGCGCTGGACCATGAGCTGAGGCTGAGGCGAACGATGGCGTCATACATTAATCAGCTTCTGAAAATCCATCCTGAACTCGTCGGGCGCCGAAGTCTCGCTCATGAGGGCGCCAGACGTGAGCAATAGCTGAATGTCGCCGTCAACGGCCTCGGGGTGGCGCACGTGTGCCTTGCGCCGATCCTGCAGTGCGTTGGCGTCAGCATGCGGTAAATATCAATGGAGTGCTTCATCCAATCGTTCATACGAGCAACTGCCGTAGGCGTTCGTCATGTCGTCCAATACTGCAATATGGTACTGGCGCTCTCGTCGCAGTCTCCAAGCAGTAACGTGAACAGCCAAGATCGCAGTTTCACGTCGACGGTGGGGGACGCAACCATGATCAGCAGGAGAAGGTAAGCCAAACGGAACACTCTTATACATACCTTGGCATATGCCACGAACAAAGGGCACCGTCCATGTGGATACTTGGTACCGCCATCAATCTTGGGAGCCTGCCATACAGTAGAAAGGCCAGCGCAGGCAGGGAATCTGCCCGCATGTCTCCATGCCGTCGCCAGCGCACTGAAAAGAGTCATAATCGAAGTGGTGCCGGGAACAACAGGCTTGGCTCCCAGTCCAGCGGTTGAGAGCTTCTTTTTACTGAAATAATGCGGCGCCAGCATGAGAAGCCACAACTCGCCAGGTAGACTCCATCGTGGGACAGCTCGTCGACGCGATGTCTTTTTGAATGCCGCAATGGCGTTACCGAGATCACGAGCTCCTTTAGCCTTGCACGCGTCGAGGCTGGTGATCCCCATTGGTGGCATCGGATCTCGTCGAGCTTCCAGCTCAGCAGAGTTGATCGCCATAGCACCCAGCCCACCACTCACTCCAGTAAGCGAGAGTGTGTTCGTCAGGTCGTGCATGCACGGGGCTTTCTTGCGAACAGCGTTGTATGCGCGTTTTTGTTGGTCCAAGTCCTGTGCCAGCCAGGCGGCGAGATAACATCTGTATTGTAGCCAGTTGCCGTCCCTGCCATGTCTCAATCAATTATTCTGTCCACGCAGCTCTGAGTTGTCGTCGCCACTTACGTGGGCATCCTTTAAGCTGCGCAGAGAGATCTCGAATTTGGCTGTCGTGGTGTCGGTGAGGCAGGCACCGTTGTCGGATGCGGCTACGTAAATTAATGAGACGACGTACCTCTCTTCGCATGCTCGTGGTAGCCACGCCGGGAGAGGTCGTGGAAGTAGCAAAGTACTTTCCAGCAGTCGGAACACAGTCTTACATATTTCTCGATAGCCGCTCTCAACCATGGGGGCCTCAAGATATCCAAGTATAGAAGGTTCAGCCCTATGAAGTTGCTCCTCAACTTCAGCAAGGAACTGCTCGCGAAACCCAGGTGTCTGTACACCAATCGCCAGCAAGCCCTTATTCCATCGCACACACTGCTGTGGGGACACCACGGGAAGAGAGAATTCCACTTGGAGCAGCAACGGAGCATGGTCTAACAAATAGCCACTCCCAGGATACAATCGAAGCTGCCGTGCAAGTTTCGTCATCGTCAAACATTTCGTCATACGCACTCGCAATCCAGCAGGGATAGCAACGTGATCAATTCAAGAAGCCGTCTTCTGTAAACCATACTAGGATGGTGCCATGCGCGCAAACGTGTAAGGGCAGCACATCTGGTGACGTTGTAGTACTTCGCGGAACGCACGGCCCGCGTATCCCATTCTGCGTTGTAGAAATGGTCCAATAGCCGTGTATTCAGCAGCATCGTCGGCACTGACAGAGTCATTTCAATCTTTAAGTCAGTGTAGAAAAGGGGTGTCGAGCGGCACGGGAGAGCAGTAAGGTCTTCATTCAGCCACGTCAAAAGTGTCCCGACAGTTTTTCCCAAGCACCAAATGCCCGCCCCACAGCTGGCGGAGGGAAATACATCGCAATGATCGTGACGTCAAGGGAGGCATTGCGGACGCGAACAAGTCCGCCTCGGCCAGCAGCTGTGGGGGGCGGAGCCGACATTTGAAATATCTGACCAGGGGTAACATGTCGAGTGTGAATGCCAATCGACACACCAGCAATTCGATTCGTAAAAAGTCCACGGCCCCAACCAAAGTGTATGGAAGTGGTGTGTGCCCTGAGTCTGCGACCATACAGCAGACGTCGCAGTAGCTCTTCGTCTTGTCCCAGTGAGCGCAATGAACGCCGCACTACGCATAGAAGTAGACACCTCTGCCACTTGTCGTGTCTGCACCAGCGAGCAGGGGTTGCAGCCGATGAACGTACTGTGCATGTCCGTGCAGGCGTCTTCACCGCACACACCTGGCGGCGCACGGCCCTCCTGCTCCCATCATAATCGCGGTGAGATGTACATCATTCAGGAATGTGTGAGGGGGGCCCTTCTGTATTTCATGAGGTTCTGAAATGGGCTTGCTGATGATGATTATGAGGATGAGGATGAGGATGATGATGCTGTTGATGATGACGTGAAGTTGATGATGATGATGATGATGATGGTGATGCTGACGCTGATTATGGTGATGGCAATGATGATGATGATGATGATGATGATGGCGATGATGATGATGATGATGATGGTGATGATGATAGTGATGATGATGATGGTGATGATGATGATGATGATGCTGATGATGCTGATGATGATGATGATGATGTGGGTCACGATGACGATGACGATCACGATGATCACGGTTATATTCATGATGCTGATTCTGATGTTGATTATGATGATTATGATGATGATGATGATGATGATGATGATGATGATGATGATGATGATGAGGATGAGGATGAGGATGAGGATGTTAGTGATGGTGATTGTGATGATGATGCTGCTGATGATGATGATGATGATGGTGGTGGTGGTGGTGGCGGTGGTGCTGATGATGAGGAGGAGGAAGAGGAGGAGGCGGAGAATGGGTGGTGGTGGTGGCGGTGGGTGATTACGATTCGGAGGAGGAGATTGGGGAAGACCGGCAACAGCAAGAGGATCAGGAGGCAGCGAGCCCTTCACGTGGTGGCCCGTTGGCGCCGGCGACAAAGCTGGCGCGTGCGGCTCCTCTGGGCCGCAGCTGGAGCGCGGCGGGCCGCCGCCGCCGGCTGTCTCGCCGGAGTTGTGCTGCAGTCTGAGCGGTCGGCCGACCGAAAGGCTCAGGCCGAGGATCCTTAGGCCTCCAAAGTGGGGTTTGAGTTGATTTGGTCAGAGAATCGCGCCACATCGCCTATGCATCGGCAATGCGTCTCGACGTAGAATCTGACTTTTTCCATGCCGACGCCGCCAATTCTTCGCCGATGCATCGCGATGCTTTGGCAATGCGGCACGATCCTCCGACGCCTCCGACCCCATCTGCTCGGACCCCACCCTAGAGGTCTCTAGGGGCGAGGACGGTGATTTGCGTGTGTATTTATGTAATGTATGTATGTATCCACGCATGCACGTCTGTCTGTATGTCTGTCTGTCTGTCTGTACTGCTGTGTTTCTGTCTTTCTGTCTGCCTGTCTGTCTGTCTGTTTGTCTGTACGTATATGTGTCAGCGTACTTAGGTGCGGACGTATGTACGCATGTATGAATGTCTGTATGCATGTATGCATGTATGCATTCATGTATGTAATATAGTGCGATGTAATGTAGTGTACTGTAATGTGTTGGATGCGTTGTGATGGGCTGTAAGGTAAACTACGATGTGATGTATTGCAACGTAAGGTACTGCCATGCGATGACATATGTTGTGATGCAATGTAGTGTAATGTAGTGTGCAGCAATCGAATGTACTATGCTGCACTGTAGTGTAATGCAGTGTAGCGTAATGTAATACAATGGAATGTCATGCAACTTGATGTATGTGTGTATGTATGTATACAGGTCCGGTTATAGCGCACAAATGCATATGCATGCATGTCTGGATGTATGCATTAATTCAAGTACGCATGCATGTGCGTGTGCATGTAAGTATGCATGCGTGCTTGTCTGCATGGCAGTGTGCATGTATGCATGTACGCATGTATGTACGTGTGTACGCATGTACGTTTTTCCGTATGCCTGTCGGTCTGTCTGTTTGTCTGTATGTGTGTATGTGTGTCTATATATATATATATATGTGTGTGTATGTATGTTTGCCCCGCGAAGAGCAACGTGATGTTCCAGGCCGACGCCTGGTCCTGCGGCCTGTGGAGGAGTCGCTGGATAGAGCGCGCCCTCTGCGAGATCCTAGGCGAGGGCCGCCAAGCGCCCGTGAGCATCAGCACGATGTGCGCCCGAGACAGCGAGTGGATCAACAAACTCAAGGAGGCCAGCGACAACGACTTGGCCAATGCCAAGGCCAAGGCCAAGAACAAGTCCAAGCCCTGCAAGGACCCCGCGGCGGTCAATCCGAAGCACGCCACCTTCGAGGAGGCAAGCGCTGCCGCCCAAGCGTGCACCGAGTGCCTCCGGTACAAGGGCGGCTCCACAGGGTGCCGAGCCTGCGTGGGCGAGTGGTTTTCAGCCGTGCGCAAGAGATGTTTCTTGGCCAGCTCGGCCAAGGACCTCTCTTGCGCAGGCAAGTTGTAGCCGCGAGCCTCGAGATCTCTCGAGCCAGTCTTATCCCGTGATCTACAAGGTCAGTCTACGCGAGCGCCCAGGATCATCGTCGTCATCGTCGTCATCGTCGTCATCGTCGTCAGCATCTTAATCGCAACTTCGAACTAATGTCGCCTTCCCCAGGAAAATCGTTGACCAGTCCCGTCAAATCCCCGAACTTTATCTTCCCTGAGCGATTGTTATCCGGGGCGAAGGGTTAGTTATGTGCGTGGTAGGTAGATCGGTAAGTGGGTGGGTCGGTGGGAAGGATGGAGGCCGGTAGGCGTGCGCGCGTGCGTTCGTGTGTGCGTAGACGAGTGCATGTGCGCGCGTGTGTGCATGTGTGCACGTGGGCGATCGGGGAGGGCAACGAAGCCTCCAGGGGGGGCCGCGGCCCGGGAGAGCGCCAGGACGGGCCAAGAGAGCCTCGACGCGGCTCTCGGGTCCCCCGAAAAAAGGCTCCATATTGTGTCCAGGCGGCCCAAAACAGCTCAAGTTTGCCCAGGGGGGCCCCCGAGCGGCTTGCGTCGGGCTTCGACCAGGAAGCCGACGTCCATCAAAACCCACGGAAAGATTCCGCTTTTACGCTCCCAAAGGGGCCTCTGAGGTCTCGGGATAGTCCGGAGATGGACTCAGAGGGCCGCCTGAGATGCCCAATCGGACCCCCTTGTCACCTTCTCCACGCTGCTGCTGCCGCGATGGCTTCCCGCTCCTGCAATTCCGTCATTATCCTGCCCGTCGTTCCCGCCCTCGTTTTTCTTCAAGCTTTGGGCTCCAATCTTCATCATGTCGATCGCTGTCCTGTGAGTCGTGCGACGCGCGTGCATCCCATGTAGCTTGCGCAGCAAATCGCCGCGCCTGCAGTGTCGCTGTTCCTGCCAATATTGGCCTACGTCTCTTTCCATTTGAGGCAAATGGGTTCGGCACGTCGCGGAAAGCCTTCGGGGAACACGTGGGCATCTTGAAGGTTATCTTGGCCGTCGGGAGGCCATTTTCATTTTTTTCGGGCCTTATTGGGGGACGTTTTGGAGGGTTCTTGGGCCGTCTTGGAGGCCATCTTGAGCGTCTTGGAGGCCTCTTGGACCTTTTTGGGGGCCTCTTGGGGCCGTTTTGGGCCTCCCTCTTGGGCGATCTTTGGGGGCAGTTGGGCCGTCTTGGGCCGTCGGAAGGCCGAAAAAAACAAATGCCACAATCCAACAAAAAAAAACTCATGGGGAATCAATGATTGTGGCCTTTTTTTTCGGGCCTTTTTGGAGGCCCCCTTGGAGGCCCCCTTGGAGGCCTCTTGGGCCGTCCTGGGCCATTTTACGGCCGTTTTCGGCCGTCTTGGTGGGCTCTTGGCCCGTCCGGCGCTGTCTGAAGCCGTTTGGGGGGCCTCTCTGGGCCGACTTGGGGCCCTCTTGGAATGATCCAGGGCCGTCTTGGAGGCCATCTTGGGTGCCTTAAACGCCTCCTGAGCCGTCTTCGGGGTTCCTTGGGGCCGTCTTGGGGCCTTTTGGGCCGTTTTGGGCCCATTGTGGAAGTCTCTTGGGCTATCCGTGGGCGATTTGTGGGTGCTCTTGGGCCGCTTCGGGCCGTCGGAAGGCCGAAAAGAAACAAGTGTCAAAATGCCAATGTCAAAATCAGTGTTGTTGGTCTTCTCTGGCCTTCCTGGAGGCCTCCAAGACGGCCCCAAGAGGGCCCAACAGACCTGCAAGACGCCCAAGATGGTTTCCAAGGCGGCCCCGAAGCGCCCCAAGAGGACCCCAAGTCGGTTCAGAGAGGCCCCCAAGACGCTCCCGACGGCGTCAGACGGGCCAGGAACCCACCAAAATGGCCGAAGTTGGCTCGAAGCTGGCCCAAGACGGCCCAAGAGGCCAACCGTTGGTTGGGCTCTCGTTTTGAATCGAGCAGTGGGGTCGCCGTCTCCCTTCTCCTTCTCCCGCCCCCCGCTCTCCTCTCGGTTCCCTCTTGTCGCATCCCTCTTAGGGGCTGCGAATTGTAAATCTGTCGCCATTTTCGAGGGCTGCTAATTTGGGGAGCCAACACAGTGGGGCCCCACGCAGATCCAAACCGGGGCTCGCCATCCTTGGGGGGCTGCAAAATGTGAAGCTGTCGCCGCTTCGAGGGCTGATGGGGGGCCTGCACAGTGAGGTCCCGCGCAGATCCAAACGGGACCTCGCCATCCCTGGGGGGCTTGGAAGTGCGAAGACGTCGCTACTTTCGAGGGCTGTTGGGGGGGCCAACACAGTGGGGTGCCACGCAGATCCAAACGGGACCTAGAAATCCCTGGGGGGGCTGCAAAGTGTGAGCCTGTCGCTACTTGCGAGGGCTGCTGGGCGACAAAGCTTTCGCCATTTTCGAGGGCTGCTGGGGAGGCAGCACAGTGGGGCCCCACGCGGATCCAAACGTGATCTCGCCATCCCTGGATGGCTGCGAGGTGTGAGTCTGTCGCCACTCTCGAGGGCGGCTGGGCGGGGCAGCGCAGTGGGGCCCCACGCAGATTTGAACAGGACCTCGCCATCCTTGGGGGGGGCCTGCGAAATGTGAGGCTGTCGCCACCTTCGAGGGCTGGCGGCGCGCCTGCGCGCGCTTGGTGCTCGCATTAAGAGGTGCAGGGAGGAAGTGGAGAGGTTGACGGGCGAGCTAGACCTTGACCTTTTCTTACTCTGGCAACGGAAGCTTCTAATTTTCCAAGGCGCTGCAGCAACGCTGAGCGCTGGCCGCGCAGGTGTTGAGCACTTCGGCATGGAAAACGCGGCACTTCAAGGTTTGGTTGCGTCTCCGCTTGTGTAACCTCATTTTGCCCATAGCCCATCATCTCGCTGCTTCCGCCGAGGTGTTTGTTCTGCCACCCCGATTTCATCCTTTTGCGTCCCCTTCCCAGTGCAGTGCCTCCTGGCCTGTTGTACCTCTGTTTTGCGAGTCGGCCACGCAGACCTCGCACGTTATAGATATCCACCGTGCACCGTCTCTTGCAGTGTTGCTGTCGTGCTATTGTCGGCGCGCCTTATATCACCCCTAGGTGCCGATGGGTTGGGTACATCGCAGTGTATTTTGTTGCCTTCGAGGCCCTCGAATCGAGGGTTTCGGAGGCATACGGGATTATCCCAACAGGACGGGGGGCTGGGCGGCGAGAGCTACGCACCTGTGCCGATACAGGCCAGGGCCATCTGGGGCCCAGCTGGGAGGGCGGATGCACCGATCCTGGGCTCTGGGTGAACCGGGCCATGATCATTGTGTGATGCTGGTGGAGGTGATTATGGTGATGCTGATGATGATGACGCTGATGAATCTGACGATGCGTATCATTATGATGGTGATGTTGGTCATGATGATGATGGTGGCGACGGCTGTGCTGATGATTGTGATGGTGCTGATGGTGCCGATGATGAGGAGGCTGGTGGTGATGGTGCTGATGATGGTGCTGTTGATGATTATGCAGTTGCTGATGATGACGAGTTGTGGATTTGATGCTGCTGATGATGTTGGTCATGATGATACCTGTGGTGTTGATGCTGGTGGTGATATTGCTGGTGATGATGATGCTGATGCTGCTGCTGCCGATGTTGGTGATGGGGCTGATGATGTGGGTGATTTTGATGATGCTGGTTCTGATGACGCTGTTTTATTGGCGTAGACGATGATGGTGATCATGCCGATGAGGATTGTGATATTGATGTTGGTGCTGATGATGATGAAGGTGTTGATGCTAGTGCTGATGTCGATACTGATGACGATGCTGATGACGATGATGGGGTCCACGCGGACGAAGACGTCGATGATGCTGATGCTGCTGATGGTGATGCTGATAACGCTTAAGATAATGATGCGGATGATGCTGATATCGATGACGGTGATGACGATGAGGATGCTACTGATGATGATGTTGATACCTATGATGGTGATGATGCTGATGCTGTTGTTTATCATGATGGTGATGCTTGGTGGCAATGATGATGGTGCTGCTGTCGCTGGTGATGAATCTGGTAGCAGTGGCGGTGGTGGCTGTGACGATGGCCGAGGCGATTATGATGACGATGGCGATGCCGATGGCTATGACGATACCCAGGATGATGATGCTGACGATGATGACGATGCTGAAGCTGAGGATTATGATGGTGGTGATGGTGATGGTGATGATGACGATGATGACGATGGTGACGATGATGACTATTGATGATGCTAATGATGCTGCTGATAGTCATGATGATGATCATGATGACAATACTGATGATGCTGATGATGTTGATGCTGATGATGCTGCTGATGATGACGATGGTGCCGAAGGTGCTGATGATGTTGATGATGATGATGAGGAGGAGGAGGAGAATAATGGGGATGATGAGGATGATGATGCTGCTGCAGATGCTGCTGATGAGGGCGATTAATACAATGATGATGCTGATGATGCTGTTTCTGATGAGGCTGATGCTGATGATGCTGATGTTGTTGATTC